AAAAGGAAATAAGGATTAGACTATTTTTTGTCATTTATACTGGATACATGCATGGATCATTACAATTGTTGAGTTTTGTTTCCTTTCTTTTTAAGTTTTGTTTCATTAATATGTAATTTTAATACCAGTCTTTGTAAAGAGGATGGATAAGAAATGATTTTTATTACTAGTACTTTGCAGGATCAACCTTAGATATCATGTTTATAATTGTTATTGACAATTTATATCACTGGAGGTATATATATTAATGCAAAAAATGAATATATTTTGTAATGTCATTACATGAATAATTTAAGAATTCTAAAATTAAAAAATATTTCCTGTATTCCACAGCATGATAGCATTTTTAATAAATATACATCTTTATATCCTCTTTAGAAATGGCTTGATAATTATTGTTTATTACTAATTGTTTTCATAGACTTTTATTTCTCATTTTTCAGTTGTTTCAGTCACTAGTTTCATATGACATGTACATAATTGGGTTCAAACAGAATGGTAAGTCTAAAGAGCTTAGTCGAAGTACCGGTAATACATGTAGAAATTTAAAAGAAAATACTTTTAAGTTAATCTTTAATAAATAATGAGATACATACATTGAAAATTTTGAAATTGAAATTCTGTAAATTTTATAGTAAGCACTGCATTTGTAAACTTTTAAGTATCAATATTTAAACAAATGTGTGTTAATATGGAGCTTATCTTTGATATACTGCATGAATTATGTCACTTTACAGATTACTATATACTACAAGACTGGCAAGAAGTCCAGCTTCATTACAAATGAGGCTCACAGAAAAATCTGCAAAGCTATTATATGGGGAAAAAATGTTGAAAGATCAGTTGTTGATATTGTAAGAAAATATCAGCCTGAGGAAATATCAACAGGAGCAGCGGCAGTTGTTGCTGCTGAATGCAAAGAACTTAGTCGTAAGAACTCAAACTCTGTGCTACAAGGAGGGACTCATCATGACATTCTGTCTTTCACGTGGGACAAATTTCACACAGAACTCACACTTAGGGCACCAAATACTTTGAAGGTTGTTTCATCAATGCTGTCTGATGTCCCTATAAGTCCAGAAGGGAAATCATTTGTGAACTTGATGCACACGATATCAATGGCTCTTCACAGCAGATACAATCAGATGTCATTGACCCAGTATCTATGTGGATTTATTCTTATGCATGGAGGATGTACAATGAGGGTATGCATTTTTGTAATAATTTAAACAGATTTTTTGCATGCAATTCTTTTTTCTTAGTTTTAGAGTTTTCATAAAATTAAAACATACAGAACTTCATGAAATTAGAAAATAATTATAATGGGTTAATACTTTTATGTTAAACTGTGTACTTTCTTTCAAAGGATATAGACAGATTGGCACGAATTGGTCTTACTATGACTTCCAAGTCCCTGACCAATAAACTAGCATCATGGGAAGACAACCTGTACATGAATGTCGAAAAAATCAAGGAAGACTGGGAACGTGGAGAGAAGAAAAAATATCAATTAATCGGCGACAATTGGGACCGAAATATATTGCCGTCATATAGAACATCACAGCAGAAGACAATATCGCTGCATTTGTTTCAAGTGGTATGTGTGGTGGACAGAATTATCCCAGTATGTGTTGAAAGACCAAAAAAGAATCCCTATGATTTGAAGAGTATTGACTTTATTCCATCTATGCAGGACCAAAATTTGTTATGCAAGGAGCTGACATTTATAGTTGCCACTTCATTACTGAACAATATTGATCAACTTCAAAACATTCAAAATATTTACCCAAAGCATTTGGAACACCATTATAGTGCACAGTCAGGACTGAAAACTCATCAGGTAAGTTTACTTTGCACCTACAGCTAAACAATGTAAAAAGCTTACTGGTTTAGATTACGCAGAAAAGTAAATTTATTATTCACACATTAATTAATGGTAGAGGATTATAATTTTTATTTCAGATTCCACTAGGCCTCTTTGATTGCAATGAGCAAAAAACACAGGATGTCATCAGGCTGTTAAAGGAATTTTCTCAAAAGTATGTTCCTGTGAAAGATGGTGAAATTGTGGAAGAAGTTTTCTTTGGAGGTAAGTATTTTGAGCATATTAAATCAAACTTTGACTTGAAAGAACTATGTATGGTATATTGCATACTTATCCCCCCCCAAAGAGTCATATTTTGAAAATTTCTTGAAATGTGCTATTTTTTATATACAGTTTTAAGTAGGTTATTGACAATTTTTGTTTTTATGACATCAGAACCTCTTCAGATTTTGTATTAATTTTCAGAAAGAGGAAAAAATGTACAAAATTTGCAAATATTGGTCATTACAGCATAAAGTCCTTTAAGCTTACAGATAAAAATTTTAAACCCTTAAATGTCATTGTGCAATCAGAGTTCTTCAAATATGTATACTTATATTTAAGGTTCATATATCCATCAATATTAATTAACAATACTTTCACTTGCTTGAATAAAAATTTGAGAGCTTGTAGACAGATATGTATTGTGGTCTGTTTGTAAGTAATTTAACTTAGGCCTTATTTTTAAATATATTTCAGTCAAGTGAGGGTTGATTTCAATGACATAGTTTTAGTGTATATATATTTGTTGTTTAAATAAATGAAAAAAAAAAATACATTGCAAGTTCTTGAAATCCATAGGTGATCGCCTTACGGACGAAAGGATTCAGTGTGCTCAATCATCTATGGCAAATGCTGCTTCTCCTCTTGAAAGTTTAAGAGGGTTCATCTCAAAGATTGAGGACTTTCACCGCTTAATGAATTTCCTAGAGGTATGGGCACCAGCTCTGTGATAGGCTGTCATTAATTAGTTGTTTGCCTTCTCCTACCCCAATGCTTCAAATTAGGGTTGGTAAGTTGGAAAAAAAAGTTTTAACTAAAAAAAAACTTACATTGTTAATAGCAGTACTGTATCTTTGTTGGTTAAGGTACTTTTTCATCAAACCATCAGGAGAAGGTTAACAAACAATTTTCAAAAGTTGCCTATAGGATTTGTTTAATTATCATCAGTCTTACAAAACATTTACTGAAACTAAAAATAATAGACAAATGTAAATGTTGCTGTAAACCAAACAGATTCTAATGTCTGTATATGTATTTTTAGCTCACCTGAGCTTTCAGTGAGCTTTTCTGATCACCTGTTGTCCGTCATCTGTCCGTCCGTCTGTAAACTTTTCACATTTTCAACTTCTTCTCAAGAACCACAGAACCGATTTTAACCAAACTTGGTACAAAGCATCCTTGGGTAAAGGGAAATTAAAATTGTTAAAATCAAGGGCCAAGTCCCTTTCCATGGGGAGATAATCAAGAAAATACAAAAATAGGGTGGGGTCATTACAAAAATCTTCTTCTCAAAAATCATTGGGCCAGAAAAAATAAACTTATGTGAATTTTGGGGTAGTATAGATTCTAAATTGTCCAAATCATTACCCCTGGTGATAGGGTTTGGTCACAATTGCTATTACAAAGGGGGGGGGGATCTGATAAAGAACAGCATGGCCAAAGTTTGTCAGGTGAGTGATGTGGCCCATGGGCCTCTTGTTCAATAGATGTTTTAGATTTCTTATCACCAATATTTATTTTCAATGTTGTGTTTTATAACATCATTAGGTCACCTGAGTTTAAAGCCATATGCTCAGTGAATGATGTGGCCCATGTGCCTCTTATGTTACATTAAAGTTAACTGCAGAACTGTTGCTCTCTCCAAAAAAAATATTGACAGACTGGTTAGCTACCATGCCACCCATTGAAAAAAATGTATACCGGTATTAATTGCGCACAAAAAAGTATGCTGTTTCTCGATTTATTTCTCAATTGTCATCTTAAAATATTATTTCTACCCATGTGTTTCTAACATATTCTTTATTTAATTCGGTCCTATGCACTTTGTGCAGATGTCAATTACGAGAATACTTCGTTTAGGAGAAAGAAATGTTTTTAAATCTATCTTTTTCACAATTGAGGAAAGAATTTGACAGAATTAATCCAGAACTAAAAACAACTTTTTGTCTGCAATAAACATACACTTTTTTCATTGGTTAGCACTGTAGCTCACCGGTCTTTTTCTGCAGCTACATTAAAGGTATATGATTTATGGCATTCCATTGTAGGCGATATGCACCTTGACATACAAAAGTGCTTCATCTGGAGACAGAGGAACGTTTGCATACTTCAGAAATTTTCTAAATGCCAGGAATGTGAAAGGTGAAGTCAAAAATTCCTACAGAGCTCACAAGTTACTACTATATACCATATTTGATGCAATGTGTTGTGTGCTGTTCCTGGGTGAATTTGGACTTAATAGCACAGAGGAGAAAATACCTGTGCCAGATCTGAGTAGCTCTGAAGAAAAAATTTCCTGGATTAATGAAGTGAGTGAAAAAATAGTGAAAAAATGGTTCTTTGAAAATACTGATTTAGTAGAAGAATTGAGAAATGTTTTCGAAGATGAGCACCATGATGAAAACTACTGGATCAACACTGCTGTTGAAAATCGATTTCAGTGCCACAACTGTGACAGAAGTTATGCTTTTATCGAGAGCTTGAAGACTCATGAATCTCGAATGCATGGGTATGTTGACTCCTCTCCTAAAATTAGTAAAAAGACTGAAAACAAAGATGAACTTTACGAATATGTTGTTCATTTGTTTAAATTAGGTGCCCTTCACAAGAACTTAGACACCGCAGTGGATATGGGTGACGGTCACCGATCTGTAAGGAGTGCCAAGTACGAATTACCGATCTATAACAAAACCAACAAAACCAAGTATCTTATAGGTAGCATACATTTGACTGCGTTGGTCTCTGGCACACTACCACCAAACAAACAAGAACAATTAATAACTAACAGATTTGTAAACCTAAGTGGTGGTGTCAACAACAACATGGCATTGGATGAATATGTGGAGCTCTTAAACAGAGACACAAAGCAGGCATGCAGTGGACATCAAACCAAAACAAGCATACTTAAGCATTCCAAGGAATATCCTCATCTCATAGATGCCATCAAACAAATTGACATGATAAATGAAATCAAAAGCAGGAAAGGATTTCATAAACACCCAAGTTACAAGAAAGATGTTTTGAAAGCAGCAAATGAATTAATTGAAATTTCTGCTTTCACTGAAATACCAGGTAGAACATTGACTTGTCGAACTATTGTTTGTCCCAGAAATCCATTCGTAGATGCATACAAAAAACTTCCAACAATGATTTTTAGACATTTACCAACATTGCCCTTCTGTCGCTTGAGAAACAAACATATCTAAGAAAAACTGCATTCTTGTGAATTAAATTTTTGTTAAATGGAGAGAATTGAACTTGATAAAAACATTAAATGAGACAAAGATACACTCTAAATTAATTGTAATTTAAATTTTAAATTTCAATGTATATCATAATAAAATTCATTAACATGAAAAATGTTTAATATAAATTTATTAGCAATCATCATTATCTGAAAAGTTAAAAAATTGTTCAGAGTTTGATTCATAACAGTATGAAATTGTTTCACTGTCACTACTGTTATTTCCATCTTCAGATTGGTCCTCTGAGGTGACACAATTCAAAAGTTTTTCAATTGGTAATGAAATACATTGTCCACAGGTACACAATTTAGAACAAATGTCACAACACTGGTGTTGATTTAAAGACTTTTTCACTGTTTCCATTTCAGCACCGGAATGGAAATTTTCCATAAGGGTTTGTCGCCTGCAAACATCTGTTCGTAAAAAAGTCTTAACCTCTGTATCTAAAAGTTTACATTGGTAGGAATTATACAACACAACTGCTACAGATGGTAACCCATCTCTACCTATTCGTCCCATCTCTTGAATAAGGTCTGCAACATTTACTGGGGGTCCATAAATTATCACACTGTTGCAGTTTTTAATGTCAATACCCATGCCAAGGGCATTAGTTGCTATTACTATTCGAAGGGAGTTGTCATTACAAAGTTTGTCTATTATTTCTGATTTGCAGTGGGATGGA